AACGTTCGTGACACGTTTTTTGTTTGAACACGTTTTCCAATTTTTATTAAAAAGAAAAAAAAAAGAAAAAGAAAAAAAGGAAAAAAAATGGAAAGAAAAGGAAAAAAGGAAGAAAAAAAGGTTATTATTGATTTGTTTTACCTTCAATTTTTTTACCCTCTCTCTCTCTCTCTCCCTCTTTATTATCATTATTAACTCATCGTTAATAACGTGAAACGAAAAAAAAAAAATATCATTAAATCGAATATATATATGTATATATAATTTTTTTCTTTCCTTTTTTTCCTTTTTTTTCCTTTTTATATGAAAATAAAATTGAAGGGATAAAAATTTAACCAGTAAAATCTATGTCAGCAATTTAAATTTTATGTTTATGAAACTTTTGAATTTAATCCAATAATAAAAAAAAGAAAGAAAAGTTAAGAAGGATATGGATAGAAAGAAAGAAAGAAATAAAAGGAAAAGGGAGGGGGAGGAAGAGGGGAAGAAGGAAACGACGAAGCAGAAGAAATCTTTTTTTTTCCGCCCGCAAAAAACAAGAGATAAAAGAAAAAAGATTGAATAAACGCGACATTTAAGTTTTTCAGTTTTTTATTTTTCTTTTTTTTCCACTTTTTTTTGCTCTCTCTCTCTCTCTCTTTCTCTCTCTCTTATAAATACACATTTAGTCAGAAATATTAAATTTATTGTTTCGTTTAAGATTATCATCGGGGCCCCATAAAAAAAAAAAAAAAAAAAAAAAATTTTTTTTTTTTTAATGTTTCCGCTCGTTACGAATTTTTTCTTTTTTTTTTTCCTTTACTACTCACCGCTTTTTTTATTTAATCACCGCCTTCTTTTGCTTTAATTACGAACTATAAATTTTTTTTCTTTTTTTTCCTTTTTTTTGTTACTACTACTCTTTCCGCAAATAAAAAAAAAAAATTAATAAAATTGTGGGAAATCATTGAATTTTTCTATTTTATTCACCCCGTCGGAGCAGCAGAGCAGTCGCCCACTCCCCCCGGGTGAAGAGGGAGGGTAGCTCTCCTCCTCTTACTCTCTCCCGATCTCCCTCCGCCCTCCCCCGTAAAAAAAATTTTCATTTATTTTAAATTTATTTTTGGATTTGACAGGTTCGAGTAAAAACTGAATTTTATTCAATTTCAATGATTTTTAGCTAAAAAACAAGGAGGAGGGGGGGAGGGGTGGGCGGGGAAGAACGTAAGGAATTTTTAGGATTTTATTTTTTTTCGGAAAAAAAAGGGAATTCGGGATAAATATTAACTTATTATTTTTTAATTATAATTTTAAAATATTAAAAACTCACGCGTGAGATTAAATTGGATAGAAAAGATCCCCAGGTGTGTCGTAAAAAAATTTTAACAATTACCCTCTCCTTTTCTCTCCTCCTTCCCCTCCCCCCCAAAAAAAACAAAAATTTTTAATAAAAACTAAAAAGGGATATATAAATTAAAAACTATTTAGAAAATTTTTTTTTTACCTCGATGATGATAATGATGAATCCCGTTCTATTAAAATTTTAATAAAATGAATAAAATTTTACAGTCCGACGTTGCCAAATTTTATTATTACATCCGGTCATTTTTTGTATTGGTTTATATGCCAGAAGGCATACAAATTTATTTTTAAAACGTGTCACGTGTTACTTCCGGCAAAAATGTTTCCGGAGTAAAAAAAAAAAAATTCCGCCATTTTGAAGAAAGTTTTTACAATCGAATTGTTATGTAAAAATGTCGTAACAATGAAATTTAATCATTTTATACAATTAATAAGAAAAAGGTCATCGAACTTTTTTTTCTTTATTGATAAAAGAAGAAGAGGAGTAGGAGTAGGAGGAAGAAAATGAAGAAGAAGAAAATGAATGAGAGGAAAAAAGAAAAGGAGGAAAAAATGATTTTTAAAAGTTTTACTGAAATAGATTGATGATACGTAATATAAAAAAAAAAAAAAAAAAAGGAAAAATCAGGATAAAAACTCAAACTCCTGTTGCTTTCCTGCCGCAAAAGGTTTTTTTTGCTGTTGCTGCAGATAAATTTATTTGATTTTTTTTTTGCTACGGAAAAATTAGTTAAAAATAAAATAAAAAAAAAAAATAAATTATTCAATCGCATGACTTAATAATCCGCATAAAATAATTTTTTTTTCTCTCTCTTTTTTTTTAATATATAGAAAAAAGGCTAATTACGGCACTGATCACGTAATTATTAATTTTTTTTTGTATATAAACCTTCAATCGCATTTTTCTTTAAGAGAAAAAAAAAAAAAAACAGACGACAAAAATTATTTAAGCGGAAATACGTTGGCGGGTGCGTGCGTTCGCGTGACGCACGCGTCATGCACGTGCGTTCGCTCGTTTGTACGTTCGTATGTTAAACAGTCATTAATTGAAGATTTTTCCAGTCGAACGAACCCCCCCCCCCTTTCCTTCGAAGTTTAATGAGTCCGAAACGAACGAATTCAGAAAATGGTTTTTTTTTATTGTTTTAATCAATAACCAACCTTTTTTTTTACAAATTCTAAAAGAGAACCTTCATTTTCTAAAAAACCGGAAATAATTTAACCGAAACGATTTTCGAAAATTTATTTATTAATGAATGACCCCCGTAATAATAATAATAATAATAATTCGAGTAGGGAAAAAAAAAATTTTTTTTTTTTTTAAAATGTCATCGTCGTCGTGTGCGAGTTAATTTACATAAATTTATTAAAAAAAAAAAAACGCTTGTTTGTTTGTTTGTTATTGCCACGTTTGTCGAAATGTTTTTAATTAACATAATAATAATAATAATAATAATAATAATAATAATAATAATAATAATAATAATAATAATAAATATAAAAAAACATGTTTATAAATAATTACAATAATTCTAATTAAAAATGACGACAACAGCGAGAGCGAGAACGAAAGCGAATAAAAAAAAAAACTTTTTAAATTTATTTATTTAATGAAAAAACAAAATGGCCGACTAATAAATAAATAAGTTTTTTTATTTATTCATTATTATTATTATTAATTAAATTATTGATTTTAAATCGAGTTTAAAAAAAAAAAGAAAAATTTTTTTAATGGATTTTATTTAAATGGGATTTGAATTAATTTTTTTTTTCTTTTTCTTTTTCCTGTAAAAAAAAAATTAATTATTGTATTTTTTTTTCCTGGAGAAAAAAAAAATGTATTAAAGCGTCGACGTTTTATTATTGTTATCGTTATTATTATTATTATTATTATTATTTTTTAATATCATTTAAAATGAATAAATAAATAAATAAACGGATATTTATATCATAATTTTTTTTTGTAACGATATCGTTTTTTATTTTTTCTGGAAAAAAATAAAAATAAAAATATATATAAATTAATAATCGATCCGTTATTAAAATAAATAATAATAATAATAATAATAATAATAATAATAATAATAATAATAATAATAATAAACGTCGTAGCTTTTTTCACATCGACTTTTTTTTTACAGTGAAAAAAAAAAAAATTTTTTTTCATATGTTTATGTCGTAATTGTTTTGTTTTTTTTTCCCATCATTATCATCATCATCATCATCATTTTTATCATCATTATCATCATTAAGAATTTGTTAAAGGTTTCAGTAAGGAAAGAGTAAAAAAAACAAAATTTCGAAAAGAAGGAAAAAAAAAATTAATTTTCGAGTTTAAATTTAAATTTCAAATTTAAATTATTATTATTATTACTATTAATATTATTTTACAAAACCGGATGTTAAGATTTCGTTAAAATTTTTTTCATCATCATCATCATTATTCTGTTTTAATATTATTATTCTTTTTTCGTTTTTTAATTTTCATAAAAATTATTTTTCCTTAATTAATATTAACGTTTTCTTTTCTTATTTTTTCCACCGCTTTTAGCACCCCCTCGCCTCTGCCTCCACCACCACCACCACCCGCTACCGCCGTCGCTTCCGACGCACCTCCATCGAAATTTAATCGAAATTATTCGGTTACATTATTATTATTATTATTATGAAAACAAAAAAAAAATAAAGTAAAAGAGAAAGAAAAAGGTTAAATAAAATTTTTAATAAAATAAAAAAACATGGCGTCAGTGTTGCAAACCTTTGAAAATTATTATCCTCTAATATTATCACTATCATTATTATTATTATTATTATCATTATTATTATTTTTTAAATTACGATTTGATTATCATTCGTGACCGGGAATTTTTCAATTTTTTATAATTACAATTGTGTAATTTGTTTCTTTAAAAAAAAAAAAAAACGTATACGAATTAAAAACTAAATCCTATTATTATTATCATTATCATCATTATCATTATCATTTCAATAAGATAAAAAAAAAAAGTTTAATTTTAATAAAAATAACATGTTACAATATTTTTAATTAAAATATATACATATACATAAATAAAAAAAAAACTTCACTTTTCATTAAAAAAAAAAAAAAAATGGAAAACCTCTAACGTAATATATTTAAATAAAATGCAAAAGACGAAATGAAAAAAAAAAAAAAAAAACGAACGTGGAAAAAAAAAAAAAAAATGACGGAAAAGTTGGCGAAAAGGAGGGGGCGTGCAGGGTCAGGGGAAAAAAAGGGTTAGGAAAAAAAAAAATTTATTAAGAGAAATTGTAAGGATAAAAATTAAAGAAAAATGTGGAAATGCTGTTGCGAGGAGAAAAAGAAAATATGAGGAGCAGAAGGAGCAGGAGCAGTAACAGCGGCTGCTGCTGCTGCTCCTTTTGCTCCTCCTGCTGTTGCTCTTACTTCATCAACCGTAATTCAAATCGATGTTTCGACCTTTTTCTCTATCTTTTTCCTTTCATCCACTTCATCCTTTTTTTTTTTTCGGAAGCCTTTATTTTTAATTTGTTTCTTCTTTTTTTTTCTTTCTCTCTTTCTTCCTATTCTCCCAAAAAAAAACCTGGAAAGGGGAAAATTACATTTTACTGTTGGCAAAAAAAAAAAAAAAGTAAGCAAAAAAAAAAAATTTCCTCTTACTTAATGCGTGTAACTTTTTTTTTCTTCATTATTTTATTCTCTAGTTTTCCAGTTTTCCAATTTTTTTTCTTTTATTTTTATTCATTATTATTATTATTATCATTATCAAGGCGGTCGTGTAGGTAGTTTAAAAAAAACATGAAAATATCGATTAAACAATAAAAATAAAATTTTTTTTTATTGATTAATAAAAATTTTGGAATCTGGAGAAAGAGGAAAATTATTTTATTCACGGGAATGAAAGTCCACGTTTGTTGTTTGTTTATTTGTTTGTTTGTTTGTTATTTTATTTTTTTTAAAAAATTCGACTATAACGAATTGAAAAAAAAAAAAAAAACGTCTCATCATGGAAATCATTTTTTTTTTTCTGTTCTTCAGTGTCTAGACGTAATAAAAAAAAAATTTTTTTTGCAACGTTTTAAAGTTTTCCAATTGAAAATCATATGTATTATTATTATTATTATCATCGTCATCACTTAAAATCGTTTTAAGTTTTTCGAGTGTGCGTGTGTAAATTCTTTGAAATTTTTCGTGGTTTTTTTTTTCCAGTCGGTTACTTTGGATTTTTGAACGATTTCTGGGAAAAAAATTTTTCTTTGACTTGTTTGAAATACGGGTTGTTCCATTTAAACTTTTCCGATGACGTCATAATTTTATATCGCGTTCCTCCGTCGTTATTGCCATCGTGGCCAAGGCTAGCTTGTGTGTGTTATCACTTTCGTTTCTTTTTACTTTTTGAAATTCCATCGGAGATTTTTTCTCTTTTCCTTCCTCATCTTTGACCTTGATTTGACCTTTAAACCAATACCTGTGATAAGACGTGCGTGATCGAATGCGTTCATTTTTATTCACCTCGCAAATTATTCTTTTACGAAATCGAACGTTTCCCATTTACGAACCCGACATTTTAACCCGATTTCATTTTATTATCATTATTATCATTATTATTATCATTACGATAAATCACGGATTTATTTATTTATTAATAATAAATAAGAGTTATTAATGCTCAAGGATTTTTTTTTCTTTCCAATTTAAAAAAAATTTATTTATTTATTTATTTAATGGAAAATTACGAGAGTAAATTATATTTGCCATTAACGAATGATATTTCCCAGTAAATAATAATAATAATAATAATTATATTTTTTAGTTTATAAACATTAAATGGGGGCAAGGAGGAGGGACGGGGGAGGGAAAGATGGATGTCGTGTAAAAAACTCATTAGAAAAGTTTTTTTTTTAAAAATAAAATCAAGTTTTTAGAAGAAATTTAATTTTTTTTTTTAACGATTAATAACTTTTAATTTATTTATTTATTAACTTAAATAATTTAACGTATTAAAAACGTTAATAAATAAATAAATAAATGTACATAAATAATTTAGGTTAATTAATCATTAAAAATAAAAAAATAAAAAATTATGACGAAATAAAAACGTATTCGTTATAATTCTTTTATTTGATTGGTCGTTTTATTTTTATTGTTTTGTTTAACTGACCAATCGGAACGTTTGTTATTATTTTACTTTTTTCTCATTGGTTGATGATTCCGTCGATGGTTTTTTAAATTTTTATCATCATCGTTCGCTTTAAAATTCTTTTTATGCTGTTTTTCTTTTTCTTTTTTTCTAAAGGGAAACTTTTTTTTTTTTTTTTATTTTGATCGGGGGAAAGGGAATAAGGGCGTGATTCGGGGAGTAGTGGTTGAAGGGAGGGGTCGAGGGGGGTTAGTGGGGGGTGTGATATGAAATTTAATATTTCGTTTTATTTCAAGTTTCACGCCTTTTTTGATGATGAACGCCCTCCCCCTCCTCTTTAACAACTAAAACACGATGATAAATATTTTATGTAAAACACAAAAGATTTTTTTTTTTTTAAATGTTTTTTTATGTGTGTTTTTTAGTTTTGCATGGAGGAGTCATTAAAAAATTTATTTGACGTTTTCCAGCTGTTTCTTATGTTACGTCGGAATATTTGATGATTAAAATCTGGAGAAGAATAATTTTAATCAAAAAATTTTTGACAATCAGCCAAACATAATTTTATGTTTTTTATGTTTTCTTACATCTTATTAATTTAAATGATGTTGTGTCTTTTGAAAATGTTTTTACTTGCTAATTTTCTTTTCTGCTTTTTTTTTTGTTTTTGTTATTATTTACAAACCGGAAAACAAGACTGATAATGATAATAATAATTTTTTTAAAAATCCGATCATTTAAATTTTAACAAAATAAAAAGAAAAAAGTTTGTATCGGTGTTAATGACGACGATGATAATGATAATGATAATGATAACGATAATAAACAGAAGCGAATAATTTGGAAAATTGTAAGAGAGAAAAATCGTTTTAAAAGGAAAGTTTTTAAAAGAAAGAGAAAAGAATTTTCTTTTACTTTTACGAATTAAATCTTGTATAAAATTATTATTATTATTATTATAACATAATGAGTATTAATTACTCTTTGAAATTTTATATAATAATAATAATAATAATAAAAACCTGAAAAAGTTTTCTTTCTTTTTTGTTTTTTTAT